AGCTAATATACTATATATATATATATATATATATATCCCAGAAGAATGGAGTATGCTAACAAGTTATCTCAGTTGTTCATACATGTACATATATGATAGCCAATTATTGAAATAGCTACTATATATATATATATATATATATATATATCCCCAGAAGAATGGAGTATGCTAACATGTTATCTCAGTAGTGCATACATGTACATATATGATAGCCAATTATTGAAATAGCTAGTATACTATTGTTGTACAGAGTTGGTTAAATTAGTAATATATTTTATTAATTAAGTAGCTGGAGTACCCGTCCCCTGGACGGAAGTGATGTAAATTCATGATTAATGAAAGGTTATGTAAGGACATGAAAAGTTGCTTCCCTTATATGTAATAGTAGAAAAATGGAAAAAAAAAACGCCCATAGAAACTGCTAAACACAAAATAAAACTACAAATTTGCATGTATCTTCGCATGGACCCAACAAACCTTCATTCCAAATTTGGTGAAGATCCATCTACAGGAGGCGAAGTAGTAGTAAAAAACGCCCATAAAAACGCAAAATGCAAAACTGAAAATTTGTATGTATACCCCGCACATGGACCTAATGAATCTCTATACTAATTTTGGTGAAGATCCATCCACACCCTGCGAAGTAGTTACATGGACATACAACAGACAGTACTATTGTATTTATATAGATAACTACTCTGTATGTAGATAGTACAGTACTTTACTATAATAAAACATACATTTTTATGCTAATTTAAATGTAGCTCCCCAGGCAGTGTTACAAGAGAATGATCATTTGTTCACTTTTCGTTGGATCTTTGTGAATTCTATGTGTAATTGTTTAAGCTATATTTCATACAGAATTGCTTCCGTATGTGATGGCTTTTGTTCTCACAAATTAGAACCCCCTTTCAAACATTCTGCGCACGGTCCTGTACTGTATTGAATATATAACTACTGGTTCGTAGAGGCTGTTTTATATGAAAAACGAGTATATATAATACAAAGTTTGCCACACCTGGTCTACCAAAGGCTCGTTGCAACACGTCTGTAATCGATGGCACAAAACTTCTGTTGGATGACTCTCTTGCGAACAGTAGGGAATGTTACCAGCCAGTAGATAGGACAATGAGATAGCGGAAGGTCCATTTCCTGAAGGAAAAATAGAAGTTAGTGAAAAAACCACAGTAAACGGAACAAACTGTCAGAAATATGATATCAGAGAAACTAGTTTCGACACATTCGTGCGTCCTCTTCAGTCTCACGTTGTCGAAACTAATTTTTCTGATATCAGACTTCTGACAGTTTCTTCCGTTTACTGTGTTTTTTTTTTTTTCACTAATTGCTGCAACGATATTGAAAAATAGGAGATTCATTTTACCGGTAAGCTAGTACAATATGGTTTTCAAGACTTCCTCAGACCAATGGCGACTCCAGAATTCTTAATGTGGGGAGGCGAAGAGGTATGAGACAAATGGACCTGAGGGCCGAAGGTTTTGCTTTAAAAGTTAAGTGGGAGGAAACTTGTGGCTGAATTAACAAGCCCTGAGAAAATATGATTATTTATGGTGCAGAATGTCTTCATTGATCTTTGTTTGAAATAAACTCAGAATTTATGCTCAGCACAAAATTGGTGTCATCAGCGTTTTATCAACGTATTTTCCGTGCATAAATTCATCAACATTAATACAGATACTTTTCAGAACAAGAGTTTCTTACAACAACGCCTGTGTGTTATACAAGATCCTTTGTCGGTTCAGCGAATTTTTTTTACATTGAGTTAGCACCTTGACTCTGTGAATTAATTACGTACTTGAGATTTGTAATTGAACATGAAATTCTCAAACTAAGTAAACATGTTAAAACTTAAATATAACACAATGGAATAGCTTATACAATCTATATAAAATGTATTAATAAAACAATTTCGTTTAATATTATAGGAACTGTCTTTAGCAGCTGCCGCGGTTCTGGTTACCGTAAAATTTTCTCAGTGGATCCTGGTGCTCATGCTTTAATCTGATTGAGCAGCCTCGAATTTTTTTTAAAATCCTTATTGTGATTGGCTGCAAATACAACAGGGCTAACCAAAGATTGGATTTGATGAATAGGATTTTCTTTTGTAGAGTTACTAAGTAACTGAAGCCATTGTGTCCTTGGAAATGTAGTTTTTATCAAAACTTTTAGTGCATTTTTTTCCTTTCTGGATGGCGGGATGAAAGACAGACGCCAAAGGGAGGTTTGTTTGGTTTGAAGTTAAGCACAAAGTTACACAATGGTCTATCTTTGCTCTTCTCACCACGGGTATCAAAACCAGCTTTCTAGCGTTGTAAGTCCGCAGACATACGCTGTGACACTGGGGGGCGCTCTAACTATGTTAAAAGCAGAAGCGGTTTTAAACAGCAGTTAAACTCTAAATCGCATACTCGGGAACAAATCTGTAAATAATGTAAAGTTCTTAAAGTTAAGAAAATTAAAGTTTTTAGCACATTGTTCTAAGTTCATTTAAAATGAATCACATGTGTCTTCACTTTCTCTAAAACTATAGAAAGCAGTGTTTCTCCTTTTATATACGAATGGACAGCTTTGTACATGAACTGGTTCTTACTTACCAATAATGACAATATCCTTGAAAACGGCCATTACTTGTTAAACAACGTCAGTAAAAAGTCCTTGATCCGAGGAATGAAATGATCATGTCACTCTTTTGGTTTCTGCAACAAAATTTATATCTTATGTATAAATATGTCTTTTAAGATTTTAGTAATTTAGAGCTGGAATGTAATGTGTAAGTGTCAGTATCTTTTACAAAATCTTTGTATAAACTACCACATTTCTACACTGCAATGATTGACTCTTGTTGTTTCAGCTTTTCGTAAATTTTCCTCCTATTGATTAACACATTTATGAGCACTATGAACTTACAAACGACTCTTAATGATCCAATTCTATAAAGTTCGGTCGGAAATCGCTTTATATTTTGTTGAATATATTATCTGATTTGATTTCTACAGAAAGAAAAACAGGTTGGTGTTTAATTTCCGTCGACAATAAGTATTTATCATCGACCAAAACTCTTACACTAACATTAAATTATCGCCAAACAGTAATTTCAACTCGTACAGTTCAAACATAAATAGCTGCTCAAGGCGTAAGAAAAACTTATCCACATTTTGTAGTTTTCCTTTAAAGTTCAGAGAGAGAGAAAAACTGCACATGCAAACAGACTTTGAGTTAACCAGGAGAAGAATCGGATGATAATTAATATTTAATCTTGCTAATCTAGGACAAAATATTGTATTTAAAGTGACTAACTTATCAGAAAGGAAATAGATTTAAAGCATTATGAGTGATTTTCCATTAAATCTAATAATCAATAAAGAACAATGGATACAAATCAATACAACATAGTTTTTTGGAAATCAAAAATAAGATTGAATATAAACTATTACAAGTGACTTTTGAAAAACTGTTCTAATCAGAAAGATGAATGGACATAAAATATTATAATAATGTTTTTTAAACTTACTAATCAGAAAAAGATTGTATATAGCGCATTACAAGTTACTTTTGTTTAAATTTACTATTCAGAAAGAATATTAGACATAAAGCATTACAATGATATTTTCTTAATTTACTAAATTTTCTAAAGATTATTCAGAAAAAAAATGTATATAGAGAATTGCAATATTTTTCTGCAACTGAAAGAATCCAGAAAGAAAATTGATTATATTAAAGGCAACTTTGTTTAAATTATATTACCAAGAACTAAGGTTTGACATAAAACCACCACTGATTTTCGTTTAAACTTACTAATAAGCAAGACGACTGGGTCTGGAAAAGAATGTTGCTGTGGAGTTAATATTTAACCTCAAGATTCTGGATGTACTTAGATTAGTTTGTAATCAATCGTACTACTCTGAATTAATTTACAATGAATTTCTTCGTCAACATGTAATATATAGTAAGATGTCGTAACTCACCATGGAATTTTAGATTGACATATCGTAAGGCAACAGAATGGAGATGACAACGTTATGTAGAGGTTTGGCTTGTCATGTCAGCTATCTTACTAGTTCGAAAAGCTGAGGATTGTTATTCGACTGATGTTTCAAATGTTCGAAATAAATGAACACAGTTTACAAGTTTAACAAGTTCTACGTAACTTATGATCATGGTTATGTTTTTCTGCGTTAATTCTAACTAATCCACCAAACTTGTACTAACCTTTTGCTGACAGTCCGGAGAGAGATCGATTAATATGTTACGTAGAAAGCTCAACCTTAGTCTGAACTGAAATGGTTCTCATAAAACTCTATTGATATACAAATAAAACGAAGTATATATTTCGAGTATTTTTTCTGTTCCTTTTTCTTCCGCAGTTCATCTAGTAAATCTATTTATCAGTTATTGTGACGTATGACACATCTAATGATTTCTCTTTTGTTTATTAAGACTAACTCTCTAGCGTTGATTAGGGCAAACCTTAGTATGATGCTGCTTCACTAGCAGTCGATGTCCCATATATAGCTGTTGGTTGCTTAGAAACGAGCTGGTGTACTTTCAAAGCGACCTACTTACACATCGAACGCAACGAGAATTTGATAATGGACTGCGTATAGAACACTAAATGAAATGTTTGGAGAAGTTTTTACGCTTTTCGTTTCTTCTACAGCACAAAGGTGTCAAATTTGACATTCTTTAGTTTACATCTAGATATCGCGGTAGAAGCTGTAAAATGAAACACACTAGTATATTCTGAGTGTTATCAGGTCTAGCTCAGAAGCTACAAAGCCTTATAAATAATGTAAAATACAAAGACATGGGTGTAATCAAAATGTAAACAAAACTGGCTTTTTTTAAAATAATAACTTGCAAAATTTAATTCAACATCCTCCTGTATTTTCAACTTTGTGGTCTGAAGTAGCTGAAACTAAACTGAGTGTTGTTAAAGACAAAAGTCTTTACTTTTTAATTAATGAGAAAATAAAGTTTCACAAACGTTTATACTAGTGTGTCTTTGGCAGAATGACCTATTGACAGGTTCAATGGACATGTATCAATTATGTTAATGTTAAGTTTTCAGGTAAGTACAACAAGAAGGACACACAGTGGTAAGATATAAAGTCCTTCAGAATTAACCTTTATTATAACATGTGGGAGAAAAGTTCATATTTGAAGCCCATAACGTCTAAAAAAATTACTTAAAGAGGAGTGATAACTAAAAGTTATATCTTAAAGTTGCCATGCCAACCACATAAGGGTCGCATCTATATGTACAGTATGATATAACTTAGACGTCTAGATTAAAAATTACTACTACTAATAGAATGAAAAGTGGAATTTCAAAACATACAAAACTCACTCAGTTAATGACTGCTGTGAACGTTATATTGTTAATGTTCACGCTTTTTTAAATTAGATATTCTAGTTAATACACGAGGGTTAGTTCAGAAAGATTCGTTCCAAAACATAATTAGAGTTACCTATAAGTAAAAAAAAAAATCTGTTTTACTAAAACCATTTCTGTCAGTTATATCTAAAGCTTCTATCCTATTATTATTATTATTGATTACCATTTTATAATATTTAAATAATAAAACCAAAACTTTAGTAAATCATATCGATTTTAGTAGTTTATTTTAAAGACTATTTAACAATATACGAATCTCGAAGTATGAATGATACACAAATACTAGCTTTTCTGGCAGTGGCACAGCGGTATGTCTGCGGACTTACAACGCTAGAATTCGGGTTTTGATACCCGTGGTGGGCAGAGCACAGGTAGCTCATTGTGTAGCTTTGTGCTTAATTACAAACAAACAAATTCTAGGTAAAGATTTGAAATTTTTGAAGTAATGCAAATTTTTACTAAAAATTGTTCTTCAGAAAACATGAAATTTATGCATTCTACGGAAAGTTATGAATGATTTTAAGTGTATTTTGATATTGTACTTATTTAATAAAATACAACCACCAACCCATTAGCCACTAGAAAACTCTGGATATATCATGTGTTCGTTAATTAATAACGACTATCTTGAGTACCAGAACAGTAAAGCTTCTCCTATAAAAATTATCAAACGAAAGCCGTCCATCAAAGGTCAAATATTCTTGAGAGTCACTGATTGGAAGAAAAACACATATACATTGGTATAGCTTCTTATGATGATGTAAATAATTATTACAGTTGTGAATGAGAAACCTACTGATGAGCGAATACATAAACAACAAAACATAATAACTTTTGGTGCTAAAATTCAGGCGATGCAACGAATGAGATGACTTAGTTGTTACAAACCAAGTGACGATCGTTTCCGAGAACATCAAATCGATTCACTTCCTAGAAAAATGGCTCGATTTTAAACCCACTCGACTGATCGATTTCAGTTGGAGGTTTCAACTACTATGTTCCGGTTCAGTACAGCAGGATTAAACCAGTACATACTGGTTCACTACAGCTGGTTCCTAATAATTAGTCGTGGTTCATTTCAGCAGGTTTATACAAGTACATTCTAGTTCAGTACAGCAGGTTTCTATTAGTACGCTATAGAACAATATAGCACGTTTCAATTAGTACGCTAAAGAACAATATACCAGGTTTCTATTAGTACGCTATAGAACAATATACCTGGTTTCTATTAGTACGCTAAAGAACAATATACCAGGTTTCTATTAGTACGCTATAGAACAATATACCTGGTTTCTATTAGTACGCTAAAGAACAATATACCAGGTTTCTATTAGTACGCTATAGAACAATATAGCACGTTTCTATTAGTACGCTAAAGAACAATATACCAGGTTTCTATTAGTACGCTATAGAACAATATAGCACGTTTCTATTAGTACGCTATAGAACAATATAGCACGTTTCTATTAGTACGCTATAGAACAATATAGCACGTTTCTATTAGTACGCTAAAGAACAATATACCAGGTTTCTATTAGTACGCTATAGAACAATATAGCATGTTTCTATTAGTACGTTCTGATACAGTACAGAAAATTTCTAGAAGTACTTTCTGGTTCATTACCACAGGTTTCTACTAGTACGTTCTGGTTTAGTATTGCAGGTATCTACTAGTGTGTTCTAATTCACTACAGAAGGTTTCTGCTATTACGTTGTGGTTCAGTACAGCAAGTTTCTACAAGTACATTACTGCTCACTGCAACCGGGCTCTAATAGTACGTTCTGGTTCACTAAAGCAGGTTTATACTAGCACTAATGGTTCACTAGTAGAAACCTATTCCGTACAACAGGTTTCTACTGGTACATTTTGGTTCACAATGTACAGTTTGATACAAGTACGTTCTGGTTCACTACAGCAGGATTCTACTAGTATGTTATGATTTACTACAGCAGGTTTCAACTAATAAGTTCTGTTCAATACCGCCACAGCAGGTTTCAACTAGTATGTTCTGGTTCACGACAGCAGGTTTATACTAGCACTAATGGTTCACTAGTAGAAACCTATTTCGTACAACAGGTTTCTACTGGTACATTTTGGTTCACAATGTACAGTTTGATACAAGTACGTTCTGGTTCACTACAGCAGGATTCTACTAGTATGTTCTGGTTCACTACAGCAGGATTCTACTAGTATGTTATGATTTACTACATCAGGTTTCAACTGATACGTTCAGGTTCAATACAGCAGGTTTCAACTATTAAGTTCTGTTCACTACCGCCACAGCAGGTTTCTACTAGTATGTTCTGGTTCACTACAGCAGGTTTCTGCTAATACAATGTGGTTCTGCATAGCAGGATTTCACTATTAAATTATTGTTCACTACAGCAGGTTTCTACTAGTATGTTCTGGTTCACTACAGCAGGTTTCTGCTAATACAATGTGGTTCTGCATAGCAGGATTTCACTATTAAATTATTGTTCACTACAGCAGGTTTCTACTACTACGTTCAAGTTCAATACAGCAGGTTTCCACTAGTATGTTTTGGTTCAATGCAGGAGTTTCAACTAATGTGTTCTCGTTCACTACACCAGGTGTCTACTAGTATGTTGTGGTTCTGCTCAGTAGTTTTCTATTACTACACTCTGGTTCACTACAAAAAAAATTTTTACTTGTATTTTTCGGTTCCGCACAGCAGGATTTTACAAGTACATTCTAGTTCAGTACAGAAGGTTTCTATTAGTTCGTCGTGGTTTTGTACAACAGGTTATTACTTCTACATTGTTGTTCACTACAAGAGATTTTTAGTATTAAATTATTGTTCACTGCAACAGGTTTCTATTAGTATGTTCTGGTTCACTACAGCAGGTTTCTAGTAGTTCATTATTGGTTCTGCAAAGCAGCTATATACTAGTATGATCTGGTTGTACACAAGAGATGTCTAGTAGTATTTTCTGGCTCAGCACAACAGGGTTGTATTTTGTGGTTCTGAAGAGCAGGTTTTTACAAGTACATTTTGGTTCACTACAGAAGGTTTGTACAAGTACCGTATTTTTCGGAATATAAGACGCACCGGTGTATAAGACGCACCCTTATTTTGAAGACAAAGTTTTTGGGAAAAAAACCTACAGTCGCAGTTGGTATTTAACAAAAATTCAATTTGGTATTTTAAAAATTAGTATATATTGTTCTAAACACAAAAGAGCTCAAAACATCAAATAAGAAAATACCGTAAGTCAAAAAAAGGTTTATTGTTATTTAGTTTGGTGCAAAACCTACAAAATCTTCATTGCTTTCACTGTA